GCATCTGTGCTTCGACATCTCTAGGGCAGGAGCCGGCCATGGCCCACTTAATCTAGGGGGAGAACAGACGTTCATTTCCACACCGTGCCCAGACTCCGGTCAAAGGGGCAGGGGCCATCATGGTCCTCCGGTGTCACTTCCATCACCTGTACGACCTGGTCCCCGGGAAGCCGAGACACAGGCCATGTCATTTACTTGCTGTAACAGCAGATATTCAAACTGCAGGGGACTCAGAAATATGCAATATGAACGGCTTTCTTCTTCCTCACTGTATTGTGTTTAGACAAATATTAAATTTAATTTGCATATCCTAATCACAAATGAGCTGAATGTTGGAAAGAGATGGCGTAAAGATGAAGTCACCCATCAAACAAGCATTTGTGCGTCAGGGTTCACAGCAGCACTATTCACAAGCTCGAAGTGCTGAAGGTAACCCCAGTGTCCATCGACGGAGGAATTAAGAAGGAAAAATGCAGTCAGTACGCACCTAGCACAAGAGGAGTCCGTCTTTTTTGTTTGGTTGTTTTCTTGTTTTTTGTTTTTTTGAGACAGTCTTGCTCTGTTGCCCAGGCTGGAGTGCAGTGGCACGATCTCAGCTTGCTGCAATCTCCGCCTCCTGGGTTCAAGGAATTCTCCTGCCTCAGCCTCCCGAGTAGCTGGGATTATAGGTGCCCACCACCACGCCCGGCTGGTTTTTGTATTTTTAGTAGAGACAGGGTTTCACCATGTTGGCCAGGCTGGTCTCAAACTCTTGACCTCAAGCGATCCTCTCACCTCGGCCTTCCAAAGTGCTGGGATGACAGGTGTGAGCCACGGCGCCCAGCCTTTATTCAGTCTTAAAAAGAAGGAACTCTTATCACCCGCTGCCACCTAGATGACCCTTGAGGGCATTCTGCTGAGTGAAAGAAACCAGTCACAAAAGGTCGGATCCTGTGATCCCACACATATGAGGCCCCTGAAGTCATCAGATTCATAGAAAGAGAAAGTAGAATGGTTGTTGCTAAGGGTTGAGGGGAGAGGGACATGGGGAGTGAGTGTATAACGGGGACAGATTTCAGTTTAGGATGAGAAAGTTCTGGAGATAGTCAGTGGTGAAGGTGAATATATTTAATGCCACTGAGCAGTGCACCTAAAAATGATTAAAATGGTAACTTTTATGTTATATGTATTTTACGACAATTTTTTAAAAACAAAGACAAAGTCATTTCATGCCACAAACTTGTCAGAGATTGTCCCCTGAATGGGTGACTGTGCACCTGACTGCCCCCAGGGGCCTTGGGGTCCTGTTTAAACCCTCCTTTCTTGTCCCTAATGCCAACAGGTTATCGGGGCCCGCCAGGGCCACCCGGGTCTGCTGCTCTTCCTGGAAGCAAAGGTGACGCAGGGAACCCAGGAGCTCCGGGAACCCCAGGGACCAAAGGATGGGCCGGGGACTCCGGGCCCCAGGGCAGGCCTGGTGTGTTCGGTCTCCCGGGAGAAAAAGGTAACAGTACCCTGGCCACAGTGAGAGGAGCCCCGTCCCCACAGACTTCCGTGTCCCTAATGTCTTGTTTGTGTTGCAGGGCCCAGGGGTGAACAAGGCTTTATGGGGAACACTGGACCCGCCGGCGCAGTGGGCGACAGAGGCCCCAAGGGACCCAAGGGAGACCCAGGATTCCCTGGTAAGTGACCGTCTGCATACCTGCAGAGCTAGTGGCTCAGCCCAGCCTCTCCAGGCTTGGGGACATCCTGAAGGTCAAACGGCCAGGATCCTCTCCAGCATGGGTCACATGTTGTAAAGAGCAGGGAGGAAACCAAGGCTGCGACTAGGATGCTGTCACAGGGCCTTGGTGAATGGAAAGTTTAGTATTCAAACGACAGGCGCTGAGTCACGGCTTAGGCCCATTTGTGTCTGGCTCATCTCTAGAAAGCACAATTGTCCGGAAAGCTCCAAAAGGGGCCTCCCCGGGTGAGAAACGCAGTAGCGCTCAGAGCAAGAGAGTGGAAATGACCTTGTGTGTTTACTGGGGCCTCTCTGTTTCCCTTCCAGGTGCCCCCGGGATTGTGGGAGCCCCCGGGATTGCAGGAATCCCCCAGAAGATTGCCATCCCACCAGGGACAGTGGGTCCGCAGGGGAGGCGAGGCCCCCCTGGGGCACCAGGGGAGATGGGGCCCCAGGGCCCCCCCGGAGAACCAGGTAAAGTGCTGAGCTGGGGCCTGGAGCCCCTCAGGGCTGCCCGGGCAAGGCCAGGGCCTGCTGGCATTACGTCCTCTTGTGTTCTCTTTGCTGATCGCCAGCTGTGCCAGGCGTGGTCACAGTTTCCAGCCACACTCACACTTCTTTGGTGGCTTGCAGGTTTCCGTGGGGCTCCAGGGAAAGCCGGGCCCCAAGGAAGAGGTGGCGTGTCTGCTGTTCCCGGGTTCCGGGGAGATGAAGGACCCGTAGGCCACCAGGGGCCGATTGGCCAAGAAGGTGAGTGACCAGTGGGGAAGGACCTTCCCAGGTCCTAGTGCTGTGGGTCTGACTCACAGACTGTGGTCTGCAGGAAAGGGACACATGAGAGCCCAGAAAAGCCAGAAATGAGGTGCTGCCCCACCCTCCTGCTCCCAGTCTGAGCATGCTGCTTCACCCCTGTGCCCAGCAGAATGCCTGGCACCCAGTCCCGGGATAGCCTCCCTCCTTTTCCTGGGACACCTGCGGTGCTGCGGAATGGGCGGCAGGGATCAGTAGACATCAAGGATCGGGATTAGACAAGTAGCCAAAAACCAACTATTAAAATTTACTAGAGCCACATTGCAAAGCCCTGTCTTACTTTTTTTTGTTTTTTTTTTT